GAGAGGGCTGACGTATTTTTCTTGATCTAAGGATGTCAACAACTCTATCTGGTACTGCAACAGAGATGTCTCATTCAGGTTCTGCATATAAGGCTGTCTGTCCAACAGTAGACAGAAGTTCTGCTTTCTGTGCTCCTAAAAATGACTGAGTACCACTCGATTCGTTTGCTAGGGCTAATGAGAGACCGAAGACTGAAGGCTTAAACAACAGAAATCTATTTGCTCGTGATTCTAGAGGTTGGAAGTACAAGATCAAGGTTGGCAGGTCTCGTTTCTTCTGAGACCTGTTTCAGGCTTGCAGATGGCCACCTTTTGCTGGGTCCCCATTTTCACTTACTTAGTCTTCAAAGTCCCTGCCTGCACACACACAGTCAGTCTGAGGTGCTGGTGTGAACACTTCAACCCAGGGGAATGTGCGGGAGACACACTTCTGTCCAGGACAACCCTCTGCACCCAGATGGTGCAAGGCTCAGGTTCTCTGGTCATGTGTCAAGGTCAGGGTCAAGGCCAGGCCACTTCTAGCTCTGTGACCTGAGCAGAGAAGTCAGCTAGACTGGATGTCAGTGTCTGCCTCTGTGAAGTAGGGACTTGGTGGCTACACCTCGCCAGTTTCTTGTTACACGTGGAAGATGATGTGTGTGCACTGTTTGGCGTGTGCAAAGGTGCATTTGAAGTATCATTTTAACGTTGTGGTTTCTGAACTGTTTCTTTCTGCCACCTGCCACTTAGGTTTGCCTGCATCTGTGCCTTTCTCCCTTAAGTCCACCGCGGACTCGAAAACCGGATAATTCAACTTTATGGAAGTAAACACAGAGGCTCAGAACCGAGGCCAGAGGCTTTCCTGGGAACACAAGTGCATTTCTGATTCCCCTTGTGGTTGACACAGTCTACAGATGTTCTTTATCTATTTTTCTGCCATTCCTATTTCAGATACAATGTAGTATTTATTGCACATTTTAGACAAGATAATCTCAACATGAAACATAACTTGGTTAACTCTTAAAAACACAAAAAGTAGGGGCTTAGATTTGCCCCAAAATTTATGATGTCTTGTAATAACCACCCATTTTTTGGAAGAGGTTGTTGGTGGTGATCTGAAATTTGAACGTCATGTCTCACTGAACAGCATGAGGAGGTCTGAGAAGCGAACTGTCTTACAAATTTCCAAACGGAAGCGAGGCTCTCGGGGACACCCTCAGAGCTCCTTCCAACACTGCTCTAAAGCACGGATCCACAAACCTGCTCCATAAAGGGAGCAAGAGTAAATATTTTAGGGTTTGTGGCCAAGCAGTTGCCATCACAATTACCCAGCCCTGCTACTGGAGCCAGACACTAGCCATAAATGACATACGAACGAACTAGCATGGCCGGCAGCCATTAAAATTTCTGATGGATCATGAAATTTGATGGCTATAAACTGCAGCATTATTTTTGTTTTGATTTCTCCCCAACCATTTGCAATATAAAAGCCATCCTTATTAGTTCAGGCCACACAAAAAGCAGGTGGTGGGTCCTATCAATGCCCAGCACGCTTGAAATGTCTGTCCATGGCAGTAACATGTGCTTCCTATGACAACACTGTTAAACTAAGGATCAATCTAGTACGCCCTTATTACCTTTCCTACCTTCCCTTTTGGAAAACCACCACTGCTCAGAAAGCTGCAGCCTGACTAAATCAAAGTCTGCTGCAAATAAAACCCAAACAAGCACTTTGCTGGACACTCTAGGTAAGAGTTTCAAAGCACCCCTTCACAGCAGAGATGAGGAAGATCCGGGCAAAAATGGACTTAACTGTCACATGGATCCCACATTTACCAAGCTGCATAAAGTAGCACAGCTAATATGTCATATGAATAAAAAACTGCATTTTACCAAACACCATCATCACACTGTAGTATCACTGAGGGGACAGGGGGTGAAGATAGAAGCAAACTGACAATACACCAACGTCACCCATGAAGGAATGGCATGGCTTAAAGTTTTAGACAGTTACTAAAGACGACTGTAGTAAAATTATCTCTTACTTCCCAAGTATCCATATGTGCTATTTCCTGAATCACAGTTTAGAAGTCACGAGGGACGCACTAGGGTCTCCTTTAAGTGTATACATCCCTTCCTTCAGAAAAGCTCAGAATGTTCTCATGGGACTGCCATGTAGATGTCCTGATGTCTTGTTTGAACCACAGGTGACAGAGTTCAGGATGTGCTCCCCCAAAACATGGCACCCTGGTATGTGAAGAATCAGCAGAAACAAGCAGCCTTTCCTACCTCCTCCTCACTCCTCTCCCAGAAGTAGCCATACAAGACACCTCTGAGCTTCGTCTGAAGGAGACCCCCATGGCAGGGGGTCGCCATCCTTACCCATTGCTGAAGTCCCATGTGCCAGGTAGCTCTCTTAATATACGTGCACACTCTGCTCTTGCCAGCCTACCTTTTCATCACTGGTGTCTCCACCATGAACCTTGCAATTCCCCTACAAAGGGGAGTAAAGAGGTGTTCAATGTTTGTTAGAAGTAATTGGGTGTCCTCGGCAGAGTAGAGAATGGAGAGAACACTGCTGAGTCAGGCCAACCTCAGGCTTCTTCTCAGTAGACTGTGAAGACTTTACCCAATTCCTGCCCAAGAGGAAGCTCAAGTGAATGTGCTCAGGAACCTGTGTTACAATGATGGCCACCAAGAATGGCATCTTTGTGATATCCATTATGACTCTTCTGGTCAAGCTGTTACTACCCAACAATTAGCTCAGTGATTGCCATCAACTGGGCTAGAGGAATTTTTTTTTAAGGGGCTCCACCTGAAAGAGGAGCGACTGCAATGCACCTGAGTTGTGTGGCCCTCTTCCAGGAAATATTTTCTAAGTAAGGAAGTATACCAGTTTTGATCTAAAATCGATCTGAACTTTTGCCACAAAACCAGTTTTGAAACCATAAGGGACATCAAGTGTGCCCAATAATGACTAGCTGCAGAATCAACAGAAGAAGAGTGCCTTGAGTCAGAATAGTGTGTTCCTCACAGGAGTTCACTGACCTGATTTTACAAATCAAGAGGCATCTTTTTCATTTGGTTTATCCCCAAATGCCCCTCACATGGATTTCCTAAATGAACCCTTGTTTTGTCTGAATGCAGACTTTTTTAGGAGCCACAATGCAATCTGAATACCAATAATAAGACATCTATCCCTAACAACCCCCCCTTTTTTGGGCAATGTTTCCTAATTAAAAGTTTGTGTGTGGGATGGGGGGGAGCTTATCCTAAATAGATGAATATTTCCTTGATGAAATACGATAAAAAACTAAATTCAACATTTAATTAAGTACAATGATACTGAGATTATACATGAGTTGCGTCAGTGAGGGGGAACCCCACCCAGCAAAAGCTCCTTCCTCCTAACACTGTTCTCATTCCTGCCCCGTCTCCTAGGCTTCATTAGTAAGCCTTACCATCATTCTCAAAATGCTTACCCGGGCCTGACCCAGATGTGAACTTTCTGTAGCCCAGTGGAAATGCTTTGTTCTATGGAGAATGAATGAGTTCCACTTTCACACAAATGCAATCCCAAAAGAAAAGCAAGGTGATTTGTGACTGTTGGGAGGAACAGAACTGGACAAAGAAAATGGAGGCTATGTTGAAATAAAAGTTGATCTGGCAAAGGAGCAGGCATTCTTTGGAGGGTGAGATAACAGGTTGGTCTTGTTTAGGGTTACTTTAACACAGTTTTTAAATATCCCAATACAAGCTAGAATTCTACCTCTGTTTATTGCAGGATAAACTTACATCCCTTTAGTAAGTAACCCCACTTTTGAATAATTGTTTTCTGTGATCTGCACAGATAATATATTTTCACTTATTATCAGATAATTGCAAAACAGTTCTCTGGGTATGGCCCAGAGGTACTAGGGACAAACAAAGCCTGGAAGGTGGAGGCAGATGGGGATGAAGGAAGAGTTGGAGTCACGAGTGATGTTGATTCACCTGTAAAGGTTGGGGGAGGGGAGGTTACAAAGTGTTCCTGGCAGGGAACTCACAAGACCCAGATTCCAGGACTACCTTGGAACAGGGATGTGTGTGACCTTGTGCAGTCCGAAATGGGCTGTTTCTAAGGTTGGATGTCTTGGATAAAAAGAAGGGACGATGCTGCCTGCCCTTTGAGATTCCTTCCAGCATCCAATATGTGTTTATATCTCCACCCCAGCCTGAGTGCTTCACTGGCCAAGACTGGGAAAATTCGCCCCTCAATGATCTACTTTAGCAGGGTGAGGCGCAGGGGGCCCCCCGACCTCCTCCATGAGAGGTCACCGCTGGGGTCCTGAGCGTCCTGGGGGAGGTGGCGCATGGAAGTTGACTGGGAGCAGCTCACACCTGAATCAAGGTGCCTCATCTTGCTGGGGATGTAGGCAATCAGATGCTCCCTTTCTCTCTCCCCCCTTCCTCCTAATCTGAAAAGAAACTCAATAGTCCTGTCTGCTCAGAGGTCACCTGAAAAGAGCTCCGTGATGTCACTTGGCTGCCCCTAACTTGCCTCCAAGGTACAAAAGAGCCGAAATATCTACTCAGGGTCAAAAGAAAAGAAGGAGCAGGCTGAAAGGTGACCCGTTGTGGTGTCATTACTAGGATCTGCGGCCTCGGCCCCCAGGGATGGGAGTCAAGAGGAAGGTGAGCGCGCCTGGAGCACCGGTGACTTTCAGTCCTGCTGGGTGGCCAGGATGTCCCCCGATCCACCGGGCCGTCGTCAGGGTGTCTCGGGAAACAGAACGCAGCAGATGAAGCCCCTGAGGCTTCTCGGGTCCTTGGAAGGGTTCGGGACCACTCCCCAAGAGTTATGGCAGCGGCGACACCCAAGTCACGCTCCAAGGCCACCTCGCTATGCTTCCGGCTCCGCGGCGCCCGCCCGGCCCGGGTCACCGCAGAAGAGGCCGCGGGGACGGGGACGGGAACGGCTGGGCGCGGGTCGGGGAGGCCCGGGGCGCCGGGACCGGGGGACGCGGGTGGGGTGGCCCTACCTGTGGTGGACAGCACCGTGCTGGCGAAGAAGAGCGCCGAGGTGAAGTCCCAGTTCCAGTTGCCCGAGGCGTTGCTGAGCACCGACACGCCGTAGTTGCTGGCCTCCAGCACCCGGCCCAGGAACTGCTCGAGCTGCGGCTCCGACAGGCACTCGTGCTCCTCCAGGAAGCGTCGCTTCAGCTTGCGCAGCTCCTGGCGCAGCAGGTCCTCGTAGGGCAGCTCCACGGACGAGAAGACCACGGCGCCGAACACCAGGTACAGCAGGTAGCCGAGCACCAGGAAGCCGAAGCACCAGGCCGAGCGATGCCGCTCCACCAGGCGCACGCACGAGCTGCCGGCCAGGGACTGCAGCATCTTCCCCGCCGCCGCCGCCGCGCGCCCGCGGTCAAGGCCAAGGCCAAGGCCAGCGCCGCCCGCCGCCCCCTCCCCGCGCCCCGCGCGCCGGCGACTGGCTCCCTGCCGCCGCGCTCTTCTTCCCTCCTTTCCTGTGCCCTGCAATATAAAAGGCCCAGATGATGTGGCGGTGACGTGGGCGCCGGCTCAGGTAACCGGGAGTCGGCCCAGACCGCGCGCAAACTTGGCCCGAGCACCGGGCAGGGCCGCCTGGCCCAGGACGCCCCCGCGTTGGCACGGTCCCCAAGGGGACTCGGTTACGCGGGACCCCGGCCCTGGGCCCTGCCGCCGCGGCTACCCGGAGTCCCCTCCCCCGGTCCCGGCGCCACGTGTGTGTGTGTGTGTGTGCGCGCGCGTGTTTGTGTGTGTGTGTTGGCCACTTCTGTGCAACACACTGACCCGCCAAGCTCCAGTTCCGGCTACTCCTGTTTCCCACGTATTTCCGCCTAATCAAAGCCACTGTCACAAAATAGCGAGCACCAAGATAATGTCCTCTGTCTTACTCGAAGCACAGTTCAGCTATCTGGTGCCAATAATGGTGAAAATACCAGAATCTCAGCCCTGACAGGCACCTTGAAACCACTCACCCTTCACAAAGAGGACCCAAGTCGGGGGAGGGGAGGGGAGGAAGCCCTCTGGTCCTGTTTCTGAGCTTTAATTCTCTAAAACAGGACCTCGGGTTTTATGGTAAACAAAGTGCAAAGTGCCAATTAGCAGAAGAGTCAGGGGTTTTCAAGTGCTGCCGTGGTAGATTGGTCACCTTTTTTCAGATGAGACTAAAAAGTAAAACTCCCTTTCTGGAAAGATTTGGCTGTATGCTTCAAGAGTTATGAAAGAGAACATGCAGTCTGACTCAGACTTGTCCTAAGAAAAAATAGAAAGAAGCACATACACAAGACTGATGGGAGTTTCTCCACCACACACGGTGTCATATCCATCCATGAATGTATGCGCTTATGACAGATTGGCACATTTGAAATAGTAGAGAACCAAGAACATTCTAAATACTCCAGAGCCTAACATTATGGTTCTCAAAGGTGTGGCTGACCTATAACCTTTAAATATGTTTCTTAAGCAAAAGAGTATAGAATCTCAAATACGCAAAATATTCGTGTTATAAAATGGAATTGTGTCTGCATCATGGACTGACTACATGGAAATAAAACCAGCTCCTAGCACTTGTCTTGGGCGGAGTGGACTATGTAGGTGACTTTCATTTCTTGTATTTTTAAATATTTTTCGTGTTTTATACAGTAGAAATTTGTAATCAGAAAAAACATTAAAATAAAACTGAATTGTACAATTATTTAGGACAATACTTCGTTGAACATCTGTCTACACACTGAAATTTTAAAAAACCACATTTTTCTGTTTTCATAGAAACATCCATGAAATTGTCTTCCATACTATCAGTGGCTTTTAACTTTCAGTAAATAATCTCAACTGCTACCTTACTCAAAAGATTGAAGCTACCCTTCCACTTTACTGCTCTTCACTTCAAAACTCTCATCAATAATCCATGATTTTCCTTTGTCCCCACCCCTGAGGAAAATGAGTCCTCAACTCCAGGACGTAAACCACAACCAGTGCTTACTTCTTTAAGAACCTGTGTCCGCTCCGCTCACCCCTTCTCACATAGACCAGCTCAGGTCTCATTCCACACTGTCCTCTCTGGGGCTCTTTAAGTTGTCAGCACCTACTCTGTTCCTGATCTTTGCTGCCTTGACCTGTTGGGTCTTCTTTGGTACCCTGCAATCCTCCAGATCTGGCCACTGACTTATATCTATCCACACCCCTGGACCACTTGAAGCATGAGATGAAATCCGATGGTTGCTGAGGTAGGCTGCTCACTCAGGTTAGTTTATGACATGCTGATAGGACATCTAGAATGACACACACCTGGGCCTCGCTGAACTTGAAAGTCATCGTAATTCCATCTCCACTTTGCTTCTCTGCCCCAGTTCTACATGGTGACCCAGCAGGAATGCCAGACCCTTTACAGCATATGTCGCTCAGACTACAAGTAGAAATGAAGTATCCTGGATGGGCAGACCAGGAAAAGTTCTGCCCTGGGGTGCAAGACCAGTTGAGTAGAGCCTGGTGTGAGGTGGAGGGCCAGCTGTCAGAGCTGACATGAGTGTTTACCCCTACCCCAATTGTACGAGTTGGTTGTCCCCTTCCTCTTCCTGGCCCGCTGCTCAGGACAAAACTACCATCTTCAGGGAAGTTAGCAACCACTGGAGAGTTTGGAAGTCTTTTCTCCCATTGAACCCTTTCCACCACATCACTTGTTTGTGCCTTCTTGCTACCTGGCTCCTTCCTTCCTGTTCTCTTCCCAACAGGGACCAGCAGCCACGTGAGCTGATATGCCGGTGCCTCTCCCTTTCCCCAGCCATCTTCACCCTTATTGGAAGAGAATGAGAAATAGAAGAGAGCTGAGATTCCCAAGAGAGAGGCAGGGTGGGATAGGACAGGGAACAGGGGAAGGTGAGGGAAACAGTCGTGCTGCTCTCAGTTCCTTTAATGGACATAGCTTGTGGACTGGCCTTGCTTCATGAAAAATACTTAGTTCTGAAAAGGATCCCTGTTGTGTTGCTAGTAACTAGGCATAAATGGACATAACGGTTTCAACAGGTTGATGAGGAGGGCAGTTGGTAAAGATGGCCATTCTACAGGAAAATCTGTCACTTGGGATCCAAACATTGAATTCACAAACACAGGGTTGGGGAACCCAGTCGATCAGAAACAAGCAAAAATCTTAGCATTTGTAATTCCACTTCTGGGTCCTTAACCAAAAAAACTGGAAGCAAGGGTTTGAACAGGTATTTGCATACAATCGCAGCACAACATTCACAAAAGTTAAAAGGTGGAAAGGACCCAAGTGTCTATCATAGAATTGAGTGCTATTAAGTCTTAAAAAATAAGGCAATTCTGATGCATGTTGCACCGTGGATGGATCTTGAGGGCATTAACAGAAGTGAAATACTGTATGGTCCACCTTACATGAGGTGTGGGGAGTAGTCAAATCCATACAGTAGATAGTAGAGGGACAGTTGCCAGGAGCTAGAAATAGCCTCGCCCAGGCTGTGGTTCTATGTGGCCATCCTTCCTGTCCCCTCAGGGAATGGGAGTGGCTGCTTACTGGGTACAGAGTTTCAGCTCTGCAAGACGAAAAGAAAGCTAGAGATGGAGGATGGGGACGGCTACTCACAACATAAATGGGCAGTCACAGAACTACACGCTTTAAATGGTGAAGGTGGTAAATCTCGCACTATGTGTATTTTACCACAATTGTTTAAATCTAGCATTTGTGTTGACAGTGGGGACCTGGCATTAGAAGGGACTGAACCCCCCCCACAAGTTGACAAGCTCCCAGCTTGATCTGCAGAGTGGGCCCTGGGAGAGGCAGACGTACTCCACCTCTCGGGGAAGCTGAGCAGTTCAGGTGAGTGGTACACAGCCAGGTGAGTAGCACTTGGCTGGTGTGGGACTGAAAACTTGGTTTAAAGATGTGGCTGGATTACTCCAGGTGGTTGCCCTAAGGAGCGACAACTTAGGATCTGATAGCTATAGGTAGAAGAAAAAAAGCCAACATGTAGTTAGTTTGTATGTTTGTACACAGTTGATCGAAGGTTGGTGGATGGAAGACACAGGCATGAGATTTTAAAATCACTGTTAAGAGAGAACGCTCTGTCCACAGGAAGGGGCCATGGCAGAATGAGTGCCCCTAGAAACACAAGTTCTCTCCCTGGCTGCTTTTTGTGGCAGGACAGCACCTGAGCTGCAGGATCTCGGACGACACAGAACAACACAGAAGTCAGATAACCCATGGTGTAAGACTGTGAGCACAGTGAGCACCATGCAGGAAGTGTCCTGGCAGACAGTGGCTTGAGGCTGAAGGTCAGTCTTCTTTCCCAGAACTTCCCGCTCAGAGAGAAAGCGTTCCCATCCACAGACCCTGAGTTTCCCCACCCACCCGGCTGAGCTCAAGGACCAGGGCACCAAATAAAGTCTGTAGTCATTCACTCCAGAAGGTTCTGAGTTGGCTATTTCATACCTCCCTTAGATCTTACAGTCATGGAGCTCCCTTTCTGTCCTGTGCCACGTGTACTTAAGCTTTCCTGTATCTCAAGACCCCATTCAAATTGGTGCTGCAAGTAGACCTCTTTAGCTATCTAGACATGCAAAACCCCATCTCTTCTTGCTCTGGATTCATGTGGCATTCAGTATCTGTGTGTCTCCAGGTCTCTAGCATACACCTTCAACAGTACCACTTTACAAGCACTTGCCTCACTTCCCACTAGACCGTGTGCTCTTAGGAGGAAGCCTGAGGCCTCTTGGCTCTTCTGTTTTCTTTAGCATTCTGTCACGTGATGTATGGGCACTAAACACCTTTGACTGTTTGATTAGTAAGGGAGGAGGCAGAAGGGCAGATCAGAGAGAGCTGAAGCACGAAAAAAACTCAGCCTCTGCTGTATCTTTGAGGAGGGCCACAAGCAAGCCTGGAAAATGCAGGTATTTCTAGAAACTGAGAAAAAGCCCCATCCAAAGTCAGCAAGAAAATGAACCGCCGGTTCAAAACCTGTGGTTGTGAACACAGAAGTGGATTCTGCCAACGATCTGTGTGAGTGTGGAAGAGAATTCATCCCTGGAGCCTCCAGAAAGGGCGGCAAGCCGGCCGACATCAGATCTTGATCTTGGTCGTGCTTGTTCTCAGACTTGTGACCACTGGTGATCATGGGATGATAACTCTACATGTTCTTCAGTTACTAAGTTCGTGGTAACTTATGATGACAGCAATAGAAAACCAGAGCAAGTAGTAGGAGACATATTGGAGTTGGGGATGGATGCCCTGAATTCAAATGCTGCCCCCTCACCATGCAGCTGTGCCTAAGATTAACGAATTTGTGAGCCTTTGTGTCTGTTTCCCCAGATGGAAATGAGGATGATGTTAACGAGAG